CACCTGGTCTTTCCGATGCAAATTCTCAAACACCTGTGAATATTATGCAAATACTAATATTGTAATTATACAGGTGAAATTTGTGCATAAAATAATGATTTATTACAATTATGGTTTTAGCATGCTTGAAATAAATACACAGTGACACACCTGGTGATACACCAGGTGATACACTTGGTGGCACATACACATGAGCAACAAGAGACAGGATACTCACCTTAAATACTACCATGGCAATGAGTTGGGGATGAGGCTGCTGATTGGATAAAAACTCTCCAATCACCTTGTTCATTATATCTTGCGGTGGAAAGAAATCATGCAAGAATGCTGGGATGACTTTTGCGATAATTCGCGCTTCACATGGATATCCTTTCCTTATCCTGAGGAATTAAAAAAAAAATTAATTCATATGCATTCTAAGAATATAATTAAAGAAATGAATTATTTGCTATATAAAATTGTACTAAAATGTCAGGATTTAAAAAAAAAAACCTAAGTACTATAATTTTTATAATAAAGCTCTGAGCTTCTCCAATTGATCACATTCAATAAATTGGGTGGAAAAAAAAATCAAATACCAGTATATGAAATTCGAAATGTTCTCACCTATCAAAAAGTACTGTAACCCGTTCCATAGCTGTTAGAAGCTTCTCAGGATCCTGGAGCTCTAATTGGCCAGTTGATTCATCAGTTGGTTGGTGATTATCTTCTCCAGTATACAGACAAGTTAACAATAGTCCGAGGGCAGGTATTGAATAATGAGGGGAAAGTATACAGAGCCTGAGACACAAATAAAATAGACAGTAATTATTAGTAATAGGAATACAATCAGGTGAGATTGAAGCCAAGCACAAACTGCATTGATCCATGGTTGGCCGATGTAATTCAATGGAGGCAGCAATGTGGAGAGAATTCCTCTCAGACTGAAGTAGTGTGTCCCTCAACAAAAAATGAAAACACCATTTGATCACATTATAACACCACACGATCACAGAAAAAATCACAAAATAATCACAGAAAAATTACTGTATGATTGCAAAAGTAAAAATAAAAATGTGAAACTATTAAGAATTTGATACTAACAAAATTTAGTATAATATTTACCAGTCAAGATAAATAGTATACTAAATGCACACCCACCCCACCACCCCCCTTTCAACTTTTCCTTATTACTTGTAACTGTGGTTAGTAGGGCCATACCTTTCCATACTCAATTTCACTAAAATATCTGCTATGTGCGAGCTTGGGATTTGCGATATAAGCAGCCTCTCGAGGCCCTTCATGATGCATTGGTAGACTGCAGGAGAGGTCGTATCCTCATTCATGGAGGCTAGTGAAACACAGGTCTGTAAGAACAATGAAAGCATTAATAGTCATATATAGTCATGATGTGCCTATATATGGTTACGATGTGATGTCATCATGACCATATTTAGGCATGTCATGTCAAATAAAATTTGCGAGTCTTGAGTCTTAACAAGGCTTGAAGCTCTGCCCACACTATCAAATTTTCTTTCAAAACTGTTGTATGCCCATATATAGTCATGATGTGCCTATATATGGTCATGATGTGATGTCATCATGAGAATATTTTGGCATGTCACATGTTTTTGTCATATAAAATTTTTTTACATATTTTTAATAGAAAACAGGAAGAAAAATAGAATTCCAAAGTTGGGCCTGGCTGGATTTCTAACCACTGATAAACATACCTGGATAACTTTCTTGATGAATTCTGAACTGCCAAGGTCTTCATTGAAATACTGGATGATATAGAATGCTGTAGCCAACATGACCAGTGTGTGGTGATCACTTGTAATGGTATTGGGACTGTAAAGAAGAAATCAGTTGTTTCCTCATTAGAGCATCTCCATGTGCGTTATCTTAAAGCTAAATTGACATGTTCTTATACTAGTAGGAATCAAACAGAAACATCCCACCCAAATCACTTTGGGCAAAAACATGAATCTTACTGTTTCAACAATCAAACAACAATCAACAAAATGCAGCAAATATATATATATATATTTTTACCTTGACAGAATACACAGGTGTTTTGTGAGGTATTCTTCAGCTACTGGTACAAAAATATCAATATCTTCAATAGCTTCAGACTCCAGCAAGTATAAGACACCGTAGAGTGCGCCAATCCTGCTTGGTAAGTGCGGACTCTTCAACGTAACCTCGATCAGTTTACACACCTTCTCAGAAATGTCTTTCTCCTGAAAATATGCAGAATAATTGTAGTATATTAATTTGAATTCAACATTTTGGTTGAAATTCACACTAAATTAATTTATGTATTACCAATGAATTAATGAATAAACATGAGGGCATTACCATTCCTAATATGGCAGCTGCTTTGCATATTCCTGAAATCACATACTGTGTAACGAGTTCATCCTCAACCGGATGATTCTTCTGTAGTTCTAGTAACGTATCAAACATCCATTCAAACTGAGCACGCTCCGTAAACACATCAGAAATAGCTAACACCTGTAATTGCATTGGGAAGAAATAATAGATTAATTGTCAACTGAGCATGTCAACAAGTTAAACTCTGTCCAGAATGCTGTATGCCCATATATAGTCATGGTGTACCTATATATAGTCATGATGTCATCATGACCATATTTAGGTATTGCACAAGTTTTTGTCAAATAAATTTGATAGTGTGGACAAGGCTTTAGAAATACTTATTCCCTGCCACTGTCATTGCTCTGGTTCTCATCTTGTACTCAAATCTCACCATTTACCACAAATTCAAACTTAGAAATCTAAGTTTGGATTACATAATTATTGGGTCCACACAAGGCGCTGACCCCAGAGCCTCACTTTTGTTCTTGTTCTTGTTACCAGAACTTTAAAAGCATCCAGCATCGACAATTTTGAACGAACAAATTTTGTACACATAATCTAGAGGTGATTTCTGACAAATGTTCATCGCCCCTTTTTTAAGTTGAACCCCAGGGTTCCCCTACACCTACAGAACAAAACAGTGGTTCCAGCAAGAACTGTACATTTCTGCCACTACCACTAATAGGGTATGTCGCATGGATGGCGCGGTTGGTTAAGGATGTGTTCTAAAGAACTTCAGGTTGTGATTTCGATTCGTGTCTTGATATTAAATTTTTTTTTTTCCCAATTTAAGAAATTTTATTTTTTTCAATTGCAAGATATTTTAATTTTTTACAAATAAACATTCTAATTAATAATTTGTTTTGACAAATAAACAATCTAATTATTTAAAAATTTCTATATCTTATTAGCTCTTCCAAAAAATGCAACATATTAACTTGTGCCTGTACCGTATTTAAGCGTGGAGGAACGCGCGGACCGTTGAGCGGTCGCTCTTGTTATTACATTATCATTAATATTATAAATATAATTAAGATGAATTACCTTGCAAGCCACCAAAACATAATACTCACAGATTTAACAGTTTCACAGAGCAACATAAGGGGTGTTCGTGGATTGGCGTTGGGCGACAACCACTGACCGAACAGCTCCAGCAGGAACATTAAACAGGAATGCACATCTAAATTTCCTGGCAATTTCATTGGGGAACCAGATGTTCTATTAACTGATTGTCCACCCTCTGGATGACCTTCCTCATCTAAGAATTTCGGTTGAAGGTCATTCAGAGCCCAGAATCCATGAACAGAAATCTGTAAAGAAAATGAAAAAAGAAAGAACCTTTCAAAGTTGAATTCTCTTACAAACTGTATAATATAAAAATGGTTTCTTTATCTATTCTGCACTAACCTGACCCAAGCCAAAGATGCCTCTTGTTTCTTCTCGCTCAGGGTTCTCATTATAAAGGTCACTGGGGTCATTGCTACGCTCACCACGAAGACCATTTTTCAAACCGCCTTCAACAGTTTTCATCATCTTAACCTCCTGCTCTATGATGTTCCGGAGGATGAGCAGCTTCTTTCCACGAGAGGTTGAGAAGAGTTTGAGCTCAGCATTGCGTGGAATGTGTCTGTGCGTACTGTTGGCAGGGTTTCCAGGTTGAGGGCGCCGTAAACTATTTGTGAGGAGTGCTGTTATGTTCTTAACAGCTAGGCATGCACCTTGATTGCGCTCAATTTCTTCCTGGAAATGTAAATTACAAATATAGTTGATGTTGATTTTGTTCATTAATCCCATTTAGATTTTTAGAAAGCCCAAAATTGACCTCCTTTAACTGCATTGGAGCCTCAAAAAAGTCTTGCATCCTGTCCAAGTATTAGTAGTTAAAAATCGCCTCATACCAGCCTATTTTGCCAGCTGGCGCCCCCTCACATTATCATCGAGCTTCCCCCCTTCCAGCCCTCCCAATTTGATATCCTTGAATATGCCACGGTCAAGCTTCTACTCAATAAAATAGAAACTAAATATTTAATGTCTTACCATTACCACTGTCACCTCTATGACATTTAAGTGTCACATTTTAGTTTTATTTTTTGATAAATTTTTATTAAAATTAATGAGAATTAATGGTGGCCCTGACACTTACTTCTGTAGCAATTTCTTCCACCATGTCTGGCCGACTGAGCACACCTAGAAGACCAGCCCACGTCTCTTCAAACTCCTGCCGTGTAGTCCAACCAATCGAGTTCACTCGAAAAATGAATTCCCGAAGTACATCCTTCTCGTGAAGGTACTCAGCAGGTAATGCCGGCAGTTTGGTGTCGCCCCTCTGTAGCTGGCTTGGTACCCAGCCCATCTTCCACACAAGAGGAGGTGTCTGTGCAAAGCTGCTTACCAGGGGGCATCGTGCTAAGCCAATTACCACGTTCTTGAGAGGTTCTCTCAAGAATTGGGGTACGTTGCAAAAACCATCTCCTTTGGTGTTTACTTGGAGCTGACCCACGAGGTAAGCAATCATATTGCACATGTTCAATGTTGGTTTGAAATCTACAGGGAAAAAAAAACCGCAATAACTTACACGCATTCAATCTATTTATATGTGTGTGGTTGGATTTATATAGCACTTTATTCTGAAGTCTCAAAGCCTTCAAGGTGTGGAATTGTTCGCACAGTAACTTTCTCCTCCCTAAGTGTCTCTTTGTGTCTATGCTACCCGGTAAACCAGCTATCTCTTGTCTGTCCACAACAGGGGCTGTATGAACCAGTACACCGGGGTAACACCCTACGCATCTCGAAAGATGTACTGGGTTCTTTATAGTGCACATGAGCCATTGTGTACACTGGACCTACGGTTTATAGTCTTCATCCAAGAAGACTTGTTCCACAACCAGACCCATTGGCTAGTGTACCATTAGAACCAGCGCTGATATTATGGCTAGTAGGTTATGGCGCCCCCTGCCTTAACTGCTTGGCCATCAAAGATCTTATAAACACAAGATAGCGTTCTCCGCGATTTACGTGTAACAAATAGAAGCGTCGGTCAAGGTTCAAAAGTTTCCCATTTAGCAAGAGGGCGCCATTCATGCGCTATTACCGAAGAG